ATGAGTGTGTGTGTGTGTCTATATATGAGTGTGCGTGTGTCGAGTACAATAGGAAAATGTTTCCCAGCACACTCTCCAGCCAGCTGGTCAGCTGTTGTCCTGTATAAAGCTCTTCCATGTGCGCCGCGCCTTAAAGCTGGTTATGAGTTGATGAGTGCGTTTGCCATTTGTTTTGCTATATATGAGTGCAGACATGTGTACAGTATGTGTGTTTATAGGTAACACATGAAATACAGGGGTCGCATGGAGTATAGGAAATGCAGAGTTCAGGGGTCAGTAGTAAGTGATGTAGAGTTTAGGGGTCAGTAGTAAGTGATGTAGAGTTTAGGGGTCAGTAGTAAGTAACGCACGGTTCAGGGGTCAGTAGTAAGTGACGCAGAGTTTAGGGGTCAGTAGTAAGTGACGCAGGGTTTAGGGGTCAGCAGTAAGTAACGCAGAGTTCAGGGGTCAGCAGTAAGTAACGCAGGGTTTAGGGGTCAGTAGTAAGTGATGCAGGGTTTAGGGGTCAGTAGTAAGTGATGCAGGGTTCAGGGCTCAGTAGTAAGTGATGCAGGGTTCAGGGGTCAGTAGCATGTAACGCACGGTTCAGCAGTCAGTTGTAAGTGATGCAGAGTTCAGGGGTCAGTAGCATGTAACGCAGGGTTTAGGGGTCAGTTGTAAGTGATGCAGAGTTCAGGGGTCAGTAGCAGGTAACGCACGGTTCAGCAGTCAGTTGTAAGTGATGCAGGGTTCAGGGGTCAGCAGTAAGTGATGCAGGGTTCAGGGCTCAGTAGTCAGTGATGCAGGGTTCAGGGCTCAGTAGTCAGTGATGCAGGGTTCAGGGCTCAGTAGTCAGTGATGCAGGGTTCAGGGCTCAGTAGTCAGTGATGCAGGGTTCAGGGCTCAGTAGTCAGTGATGCAGGGTTCAGGGCTCAGTAGTCAGTGATGCAGGGTTCAGGGCTCAGTAGTCAGTGATGCAGGGTTCAGGGCTCAGTAGTCAGTGATGCAGGGTTCAGGGCTCAGTAGTCAGTGATGCAGGGTTCAGGGCTCAGTAGTCAGTGATGCAGGGTTCAGGGCTCAGTAGTCAGTGATGCAGGGTTCAGGGCTCAGTAGTCAGTGATGCAGGGTTCAGGGCTCAGTAGTCAGTGATGCAGGGTTCAGGGCTCAGTAGTCAGTGATGCAGGGTTCAGGGCTCAGTAGTCAGTGATGCAGGGTTCAGGGCTCAGTAGTCAGTGATGCAGGGTTCAGGGCTCAGTAGTCAGTGATGCAGGGTTCAGGGCTCAGTAGTCAGTGATGCAGGGTTCAGGGCTCAGTAGTCAGTGATGCAGGGTTCAGGGCTCAGTAGTCAGTGATGCAGGGTTCAGGGCTCAGTAGTCAGTGATGCAGGGTTCAGGGCTCAGTAGTCAGTGATGCAGGGTTCAGGGCTCAGTAGTCAGTGATGCAGGGTTCAGGGCTCAGTAGTCAGTGATGCAGGGTTCAGGGCTCAGTAGTCAGTGATGCAGGGTTCAGGGCTCAGTAGTCAGTGATGCAGGGTTCAGGGCTCAGTAGTCAGTGATGCAGGGTTCAGGGCTCAGTAGTCAGTGATGCAGGGTTCAGGGCTCAGTAGTCAGTGATGCAGGGTTCAGGGCTCAGTAGTCAGTGATGCAGGGTTCAGGGCTCAGTAGTCAGTGATGCAGGGTTCAGGGCTCAGTAGTCAGTGATGCAGGGTTCAGGGCTCAGTAGTCAGTGATGCAGGGTTCAGGGCTCAGTAGTCAGTGATGCAGGGTTCAGGGCTCAGTAGTCAGTGATGCAGGGTTCAGGGCTCAGTAGTCAGTGATGCAGGGTTCAGGGCTCAGTAGTCAGTGATGCAGGGTTCAGGGCTCAGTAGTCAGTGATGCAGGGTTCAGGGCTCAGTAGTCAGTGATGCAGGGTTCAGGGCTCAGTAGTCAGTGATGCAGGGTTCAGGGCTCAGTAGTCAGTGATGCAGGGTTCAGGGCTCAGTAGTCAGTGATGCAGGGTTCAGGGCTCAGTAGTCAGTGATGCAGGGTTCAGGGCTCAGTAGTCAGTGATGCAGGGTTCAGGGCTCAGTAGTCAGTGATGCAGGGTTCAGGGCTCAGTAGTCAGTGATGCAGGGTTCAGGGCTCAGTAGTCAGTGATGCAGGGTTCAGGGCTCAGTAGTCAGTGATGCAGGGTTCAGGGCTCAGTAGTCAGTGATGCAGGGTTCAGGGCTCAGTAGTCAGTGATGCAGGGTTCAGGGCTCAGTAGTCAGTGATGCAGGGTTCAGGGCTCAGTAGTCAGTGATGCAGGGTTCAGGGCTCAGTAGTCAGTGATGCAGGGTTCAGGGCTCAGTAGTCAGTGATGCAGGGTTCAGGGCTCAGTAGTCAGTGATGCAGGGTTCAGGGCTCAGTAGTCAGTGATGCAGGGTTCAGGGCTCAGTAGTCAGTGATGCAGGGTTCAGGGCTCAGTAGTCAGTGATGCAGGGTTCAGGGCTCAGTAGTCAGTGATGCAGGGTTCAGGGCTCAGTAGTCAGTGATGCAGGGTTCAGGGCTCAGTAGTCAGTGATGCAGGGTTCAGGGCTCAGTAGTCAGTGATGCAGGGTTCAGGGCTCAGTAGTCAGTGATGCAGGGTTCAGGGCTCAGTAGTCAGTGATGCAGGGTTCAGGGCTCAGTAGTCAGTGATGCAGGGTTCAGGGCTCAGTAGTCAGTGATGCAGGGTTCAGGGCTCAGTAGTCAGTGATGCAGGGTTCAGGGCTCAGTAGTCAGTGATGCAGGGTTCAGGGCTCAGTAGTCAGTGATGCAGGGTTCAGGGCTCAGTAGTCAGTGATGCAGGGTTCAGGGCTCAGTAGTCAGTGATGCAGGGTTCAGGGCTCAGTAGTCAGTGATGCAGGGTTCAGGGCTCAGTAGTCAGTGATGCAGGGTTCAGGGCTCAGTAGTCAGTGATGCAGGGTTCAGGGCTCAGTAGTCAGTGATGCAGGGTTCAGGGCTCAGTAGTCAGTGATGCAGGGTTCAGGGCTCAGTAGTAAGTGATGCAGAGCTGAGGTCGGCGCACATTATGATTGGTGACCACTCTGCCAGCCGTCATTTGTTATTTATTTTAACGTAATAATGTATCAGGAGGAGCCGGAACGCAATAGGTGGGGGGAGGGGACACACACCAAGAACTCCCAGGAGGGCAGGAACAGAGTCAGGAATTACAATGGGAATTCTCATGATTGGAGTATCTGAGATCTATGGGAAGCCCGGGACGGACTCAGCTCAGCATTCTCCACTTATAGGTCACATATCCCTTTCGGGTGGACTGGCCCTTCAAATAAGAAAACAATGTGATCTTTGGGTGCTCTGAGCTAATCTTTGGGGGAGTTGAGATGAAGCGGCTTCCATAATGTCTATATATTGTCTCCCAGCACTGGTGCCTATGGGGAGCTTCTCATTGCCCCATTTCCTTGCTCAGCCTATATATGGGGGAGAGCAATAACATGAACCCGTCACAACCCGCTCAGCGTTCCCTGATTTCCCTTATGAAATGCTCAGACGCTGACCTATTGAGTAAATCTCCTTACCCTTAAGAGGCTTTACTCCCTACGGTCATGAAGCTTCTTACTGACGCTTACACGGGTGCTGAATAGAACAGATACTGCAGGTGATGGACAGTTCATTGCAGAGCCCATCAATACCGGAACTGGAATCCTGACAACTGGACCGGGGGGCATTATACGCTATATTGCCAAAAGTATTGGGACGCCTTTACACGCACATGAACTCTAATGGCATCCCAGCCTTAGTCCGTAGGGTTCAGTATTAGCTGCGTGCGTTACACCGCGGCATCCCACGCTTTGCATTGCACTTGGTGATGTGCGGCTTGGATGCAGCTGCTCGGCCATGGAAACCCATTCCATGGAGCTCTCTGCGCACTGTTGTTGGGCCAATCTGAAGGCCGCATGGAGTTTGGAGGTCTGTAGCAATTGACTCTGCAGACAGTCGGCGACTTCTGCGCACTGTGCGCTCCAGCATGCGCCGAACCCGCTCAGTCATGTGACGTGGCCGACCACTTCCTGGCTGAGTTGCTGTTGTTCCCAGTTGCTTCCACTTTGTTATAATCCCAGTAACAGGCGACCGCGGCGGAATATTTAGTGGCCGGGAAATGTCACGGAACACCTGAATCCAATGATTTGGAGGGGGAGGGGCCCAATACTTTTGGTAATATAGTGTGTGTATATAGTGTGTTGCCAGAACCATGGGGGTGAGCTGAGCTGAGCCGGAGCCAGGACCGAGGAGGGAAGGGTGGGGGAGGCAGCGGGAGGAGGTTGGTATATCCTGTACCAGCTTAGTGTGCATGTGTGCTATGGGCACAGGTCAGGTCAGCTTGAAGGTGTTCATATCCTTCCTATAGCACTTATTGTACTGTGTGTGTCCTTATATACGGCCAGAGCTGCTCCATGCGTATCATGCTCAATTGCTGCCCTCCACAGAATTCCATCTCCGCCAATGTCAATGCCCCCCATGTTGCAATTGAACAGCTTTAATAAGACCTCATAACTGTCCATATGTTTCCGGTATATTGTGACAATTGCCCTGTACTGTATGTTGCCCTTGTATCCTCACAATTGCCCCATATGCGGCCGGATTATTATATACACTGAGTGGCCGGATTATTATATACATCGAGTGGCCGGATTATTATATACACCGAGTGGCCGGATTATTATATACACCGAGTGGCCGGATTATTATATACAC